ATATGGATTCATATATATGATATTATTTGTGTTTCTTCATGTAAAAAGGTGTTGAAAGTAAGTGTTAGTGTAAGTGTAAGTTTAGTATTCCTCATAATTTATTATTAATCAATGCAGATATTTAGACGTGCCATTTTTTTTAGTGGAGCAGATTTATAATTGGTGTGGATCTTTGTTTTTTTTTTTTAATTATCTAATTATCTCTTGCGTTCATTTCATTTTAATTTGATGCAACTCATTTCAAAAAATACAGTATACTACTATATTAAAATCTCTTGAAGAGAGGCAGATAAACATATTTTATTTATCTGTGGTAAATCAGAAACTTTTTTGTTTTGTGACAAAGGCATAAATACAATAAAATAAGAAGTTTGGAAATTTTTGCGTTTAAAGTTGGCGAAACGGGGTGGGAATTGAGATAAAAGGAGGATTCTGATCCTGGAGGAGTTTCGCTAAGGACGTGGCCGGGCGAAAAAAAAAATGTTGACAAGTGCAGCGGACGTCTTCGGATTGGATTGCCGATAGCAAGTTCGTCGATTACAGACCAGAAAAGTTGTTAACAACAGCTGATAAGGGCGGACATATTGTTTGGACGGTCTCCCATCTCTTTGTAGTGTGTGGGTGGTTGAAGGGTGGACCTATATGTGTATGTGTCTCTGGTCTCTTCAGTTCCATGTCCCTCGTCTCTTTATCCATCTCTGTCTCTCTCTTTATCCTCATCCCATGGAGGACGGCGCGCTGATTTCATTTCAGATCTGGCGAACGGCGCGGACTTTTAATGTTGATTTGAATCTATTTGATGAGTTTTATTTATCAGATCTTTAAATACATTGTGGCGTGGGTTACATAAACCGAGCAATCCGGTTGGCCGCGCTCGGCCGGAACATTCGCAGTTTGTTTGCGGAAAATTCTGTGATAAAATCTAATAGGATTCCCCAGCTATTTTTAAATTTGTTATTCCGCGTTATCTGCAACTGCGAAAGTTCAATTTGCGGACGCATAAATTCCGTCTCTCGATTCGATTATTCATTGGGCCAACCATAAAACTGGATTTACAACTGAAACGCGACTGAAGGGACACAGAAAGAGATTCATACAAAAAAAATTGCCTATGAAAGTATTTATTTATTTTGGACGACGGCCGCCCTCGTCCTGCACGCTGCGATAACAAACTTTTGGCTCGCCATTCCGAAGGCTTACGTCAAACTTTCATATTCATTTTCTGGAATTGAATAGATTTACTAGCCTTTTTGTTTTCATCTCCCATCCTTTTATTTCATCGACAATAACATTAAACGGTCGTAAATATTAATTAGATACTGTATCTCTATATATTAAGAAGTTTTCCTAAAAACTATAATTAGATAATATAGTGAAAGTGCACGGCATTAAGATTTATTATTCCAATCAAAGTTTTCATGAACTCTGCAATTTTTAATCAAAACTTTCTTACATCTTTATTTTAATACTATTTTTTTCAGTAAAGGACATTCAACAACTTCCTCAATAAATTCGATCAAAACAAGCATAATCCAGGATATATAACTCACTTTTTTAAATTAAGTATTAAGGAATTTGGCTCGTTATATTATTAAGTGCATGTGTTATATATCAAGACTTGTTAATCCAATATCAGTTTTAATTCTACAACTTCCAAATACAAGTTTCTTTCAGTCTATACTAAATTTGTTGTTAGAAGTAATTCAACAATGTTTTAGTCATATAATCAAAGTTATTGCAATGAAAAAGTCTTGTATAACTTAGTAAGTTAATAATTAGATTAGTTCCGTTTGTTAAGAAGTTGTTATTATACTACGTTAAGATTATGCTAAATTAGCTTACGTTTATTTGTCTAATCTACTATTATCTTTAATATAATGGAAAAATGGACATAGATTCTTCATAATATTTTTTTCAAAAAATTATGTCATAAATAAAACGCATAGTTCGATGCTTTTTATGTTCAAAAGTAGAAATTTTAATTAAATTCTTTACAATCCTTTAGTTCATCTATTAACTTCTTGTAGCATCTTAAAAAAATCGCTCATACTAAAGTACTCAGTTTAAATATTGTTTTGTATCTATTTTTTTCATATATCTTTATTTATTAATTATTTTAAATTTTACATACATTTATTTACAAAAGCATAAAACAAAAATATTAACATTTATTATAAATACATTTGCAATTTTCTGGATCATTGCCACTTATTCTCATACCCCTTTTACCAAGGTTCTTTTCTTTCATAATCCTTTTAACTGTACCTACAATATTTTCATCTATTTGCGGTGTCCTTGCTAGCACCCACAGCATCTCTAAAAAGACAGTAAATTACATTGGATTAAATCCATTAATAAATTTTCGTTCGATGTAAAAGACGTGTACTTACGTAAATTTATGTTCAAGAAATCCGTGCACGACCACTCGATTGTGTAAGTTTCGTAATCGGTATCGATGATCCAGTAGTTAAGTTCGGGGATACGCGGTATTCTCAATTTTAATTTTGCGTCGTGCTTGCTTGGATCAATCAAGTAGGCTTTCATGTGCATTTTAATCGGGGTCGATAATTTAAGTTTCATATCCACATTAAATGTATTGTTGTCTACTTTTAATACATCTATGACAGTGCAATCACCGTTCATTTCTATTAAGTTATTGTATCTGTAAATCTCGTACCATCTTCCGGAATACTGCAAAAAATAAGTCATAGACAAATATAGACTTAATCAATTAAAATTCGTTATTTATATATTAATATTGTTATTATAATATTATCTAAATTATTATATATAATATTATTATTTTTTTAAAGTTTTACGTAGAGTTTACCTTATTAATATCAAAATTAGGCATAGTGGTGTTGGCATATTCTGAGCAGCTTCCACTAAATATTTGTTGACCATATGCCAAAACAGGCAAAGAAAACAAAATTAAGAACATTATATCTGAAAAATAAGAAATGTGTTTTATTATCTACAACTTTATTTATTTATTATCTAGAAGTTATCAAGAGATTCTTGACATTCTTTATTTATGATGAATGTATACAGTTTAGATTAAGATTTTGTATTAATTAGTTTATAGATAATCAATAACTTAATTAATTAATAAAATATACTGATCTATCCTCAATTAATTAACAACGTCAAAATTATGTGCCATAAAACACATACGTAATTGTTTATCACTTTTTAGTAAATTTTAAAAGTAATTGTTTTTTAATACATTCATTAATACATGATAATATTCTAGTATTACTTATTAAATTATTACTTTATAACAACTTTGTATATGCATTTATTACTAAGTTTTACACATATTTCTTTATAAAAAAAATATAAACCCATCATTTCCTTAACAATTACTTTAACCACAATCAAAAAATATATATTTCTATCTACATACGCATTAATAATATATCCCTATTTATCATATATATTTATTTCCGAAAAATATTAAACTCTCAGCAATCCTTGTAGACACATTTGCAATTTTCTGGATCATTTCCACTTTTCCTCATCCCTCTTTTACCAAGGTTGTTTTGTTTCAAAACGGTTTGAATTTTACGCTCGGTCTTTTCATCTATCTTCGGTCTCCTCGCCAGTACCCACAACATCTCTAAAAATAGTGCATTCAATTTGGTTCAATACTTTAATAGATTTACTTTTTATGTATTTAGATCACAACTTACGCAAATTTGTTTTTAGAAATTCTATACACGACCACTCGATTGTGTAAGTTTCATAATCGGTATCTAGAACCCAATATTCAAGTTCGGGCAAATAAGGCATTTTGTCTATAAATTTTCCGTTACGCTTAACGGGATCAATGAAATGGGCTTTGGTGTGCATTGTCATAGGAGTAAATAATTTAAGTTTCATGTCCGCATTAAATGAATTATCGTCTATTTTTGATACATCTACGACAGTGCAATCAGCATTCATTTGGATTACGTTATTGTATCTGTAAATCTCGAACCATCTCCCAGAATACTACAAAAGAAAAGCAAGTTATATTTGTATTTTTTTTTCCAAATTTTTAATTAATATTTTATAAATGATTTGGTATAATAGAAAATCAATTATTTTATTTTATATTTTTTTATAATTGCTTAAATAGAGGTTACCTTATCAATATCAAAATTTGGTATAGAAGTGTTGGTAAAGTCGGAGCATCTTCCGCCAAATATTTGTTGACTGTGTGCCAAAGCAGGTAAAAGAATGAACAAAATTAACATCATTATAACTGAAAATAATATAAACATGCATTATTATATAGAATATTGTTTGTGTTATAAACTATATATTAACATGAACTTAAATTATAATTTAATACATTTAAACTAACTTAAGATAATAATTGATGTATTACAGTTGAGCATCATTAAAATAATTAATTATAAATCTTATTCACTTCACCAATTTAAGTTATACATTCGTATAATCAAGATCCTTTAGGAAAGAGAAAATACTTTCAGTTTTCTTCTCTGAAGATAGAACGAATCACATGGCATTCCTAACAATCACAACAATGAAACATATTATACAATATTAATATGAAAGTAAACTCGTCGAACGTAAAATGTTAGGGAGAAACGTTTGTTCCAGTTTTTGTAACTTGTAGTATTTACTGTCAACATAGTCTAACATGACAAGATAGGACTAATTAACGTCAAAATTATGTGCCCTAAAACACATACGTAATTGTTCATATATTTGGTGAAAGATGAAATCATTTTAATTAGAATTAAACTTCTACATTTTTACCTTTCTTTAGACCACCAACAATAAAGGTTAATTTATTAAAATATTGTATGGTTAATTTCGGTATATTTAGAAAATTATTAGTTATTTCATCGTACCCTGTAGTATTTTTTTTTTATACATGTCAAGTAAAATACTTGTTACTTTTTATTAATTTTTAAAAAGTAATTATTTTTGAATACATTCATTAACACATGACAATATCCTAATATTACTTATTAAATTATTACTTTATAACAACTTTGTATATGCTTTTATTACTAAGTTTTACACATATAAAAAAATATAAACCCAACATTTCCTTAACAATTACTTTAAACACAATCAAAAAATTATATTTTCTATCTACATACACCTTAAACATATATCTCCATTTATCATATATATTTATTTCCGAAAAATATTAAACTCTCAGCAATCATTGTAAATACATTTGCAATTTTCTGGATCATTTCTACTTTTCCTCATCCTTCTTTTACCAAGGTTGTTTTGTTTCAAAACGGTTTGAATTTTACGCTCGGTCTTTTCATCTATCTTCGGTCTCCTCGCAAATACCCACACCACCTCTAAAAAAAGTGGATTCAGTTTGGTTCAATACTTTAATAGATTTACGTTTTATGTATTTAGATTACAACTTACGCAAATTTGTTTCTAGCAAATCTATACACCACCACTCGATTGTGTAAGTTTCATAATCGGTATCTACAATCCAATATTCAAGTTCGGGTGTATAAGGCATTTTGACTTTAACTTTTCCATCACGCTTAACGGGATCAATGAAATGGGCTTTAGTGTGCATTGTCATAGGAGTATATAATTTAAGTGTCATGTCCGGATTAAATGAATTATTGTCTATTTTTGATACATCTACGACAGTGCAATCAGCATTCATTTGCATTACGTTATTGTATCTGTAAATCTCGAACCACCTCCCAGAATACTACAAAAGATAAGCAAGTTATAATTGTATTTTTTCCACATCTTTAATTAATATTTTATAAATGATTTAGTATAATAGTAAATCAATTATTTTATTTTATATTTTCTTATTGCTTTAATAGAGTTTACCTTATCAATATCAAAATTTCGTTTAGAAGTGTTGGTAAAGTCGGAGCATCTTCCGCCAAATATTTGTTGACTGTGTGCCAAAGCAGGTAAAAGAATGAACAAAATTAACATCATTATAACTGAAAATAATATAATCATGCATTATTATATAGAATATTGTTTGTGTTGTAAACTATATATTAACAAGAACTTTAATTATAATACACTTAAACTAACTTAAGATAATAATTGATGTATTGCATTTGAGCATCATTAATTATAAATCTTATCCATTACACCAATTTCAGTTATACTCGCGTATAATCAAGATCTTTGAGGAAAGATGAAAGACTTTCAGTTACTTTCACTAACAATGGCAACAATGAAACATATTATACAATATTAATATGAAAGTAAACTTGTCGAACGTAAAATGTTGTTCCTGTTTTTGTAACTTGTAGTATTTACTGTACATGTCAAGTAACTTGTTACTAAATTCTACATATATTTGGTTTTCATACTTTCATTAATACATATTATATATTGCTTATTGAAATATTACTTTATAACTATTTTTTATATTCTTTTATTACTCAGGTTTATACATATTTATTTATAAAAAAACTCTAATTACCTATTACATTAAATACAATTAAAAAGAAATTTTTTTTTTTTCTATCAACATATGAATTTATCATATATCTTCATTAATTACTAGTTATAAGTGTTTCACATATCTATTTCCAAAAAAAAATGAAACTATATTATCTCAACAATTATTATAAACACATTTGCAATTTTCTGGATCATTTCCACTTTTCCTCATCCCTTTTGTTCCAATGTTATTTTGTTTCAAAACCGTTTTAATTTTACGTTCAATCTCATTCATCTATTTTGGGTGTCCTCGCCTAAACCCACAACATCTCTAAAAAATTGTAATCAGTTTGGAACAATTCTTCAATACATTTATTTGTTTTGTATTTCGGCCACAACTTACGCAAATTTACGTTTAGAAATTCTGTACATGACCACTCGAATGTGTAAGTTTCGTAATCGGTATCTACAATCCAATAATTAATTTGGGGCATATAAGGCATTTTATCTTTGAATTTTCCGTCACGTTTAATGGGAGCAATGAAGTGGGCTTTCGAGTGCATTATCATAGGAGTTAATAATTTAAGTTTTATGTTCGCATTAAATGAATTATTGTCTATTTTTGATGCTTGTAAGACAGTGCAATCGGCGTTCATTTGGATTAGGTTATTGTATCTATAAGTCTCGAACCATCTTCCAGAAAAGTACAATGAAAAACATGTCATATTTGTAATTTTTATTTAATATTTTATTAATGATTTAACATAATAGTAAATCAATAAATAAAATAATTATTGTTTTCATTTAATTGCTTAAATAAAGTTTACCTTATCCATATCAAAATTTGGTACAAGAGCATTGGTAAATTCTGAGCATCTTCCGCCAAATATTTGTTGACTGTGTGCCAAAGCAAGCAAAAGAATTAACAAAATTAACATGATTATAACTGAAAAGAGTATAAACATATATATAAAATTGTGATAGTGCTATAAACAATGTATTAATACGAACATTAATAATCATATAATATACTTATATATTTTAATTTAATTATAGGGGGAAAGATTATAGACTTTTCATTAGATCTTCTTTGAAGATGGAACGGATTACATGGCATTCCTAACAATTGCAACAATGTAATATATTATACATTATTAATACGAAAAAAAACGTCAAACGTAAAATGCTAGGGAGAAACGTTTGATCCTTTTTTTGTTGTTTGTACGTATTATATTGTATGTGTGGGGGTTGGGTGCTTGGTTTTTCCGTTGCCGCATGTTCCGCATGGGGAAATATTTGCCTCTTGTGAAATTGGGTTCTGTAAATATGGAAAAATGAGCGAGCAATATCATGCCGGATGGAATTTGGTTGCAAAATGAACGCAAAACATATTACGAAAAATGTAAATTCAATCGATTTTTGATTATAAACAAAATGCTGAAAGTTTTATTTCACCAATGCAAATTACTATTTGTCCATATATATATTTTTTCTACAATTTTCGGGTTACGAGTGGAAATATATGTACTACATTTATTTGTTGTCCAATGTAAATATAAATATTTTTGTTATTTGTAAATGTATTTTTTTTTTGTAATATAAACAATTGTGCAAGTAAAATGAATAAAATTTTTAGTCGTTTTTTTGTAATGTTTATTCAAAAAATATAAAAAGAATGTATCTCTATCAAATAGTACAAAAATATTAATTTAGTCAATTTTTTCTCTCATTAATTCATGTAATAGCGACTGTGTAATGTTATAATGAAATATTTAGTTAACATTACTCAAGTTTGCAAAATTGCATACTTTGTATTGTACATTAATGTCATTTTATACAATAACTAAGTTTTGTATAGAATAACGTGCTAAATATTAAATGAATTATATAAAGGATAAACAAAATCTAAAGTGTGGTTTGAAAAATGAATTTAGTGTAATAGCTTAGTAATTAATGGAATTTGCCGGGTAATGAGTAAAGTGAATTTGATGTCATAATGGATCGATGATCGGAATGGGGTGTAATTAAATTAAGATCAGTTTTCTTTGTCAGCATCGCATGCAGATGGAGCCACCACTGTTGTATAAAGCAGTTGCACGGAATTGATTGGAGGCCAATTACGTGCAGAGCCAAGTCCGGCAATAATTCTAACTGTATTCGCAGATAATGAGTATTAACAATGCAAACCGTGTAATCCGCATACAGAGACGCAAATAGCGTGGAAGCACTTTTCAGCTTTAATTCATAATAATCATCGGGAGTTGGGATTGTTCAGTTGGCGGCTTGTAGCGTAGAGCGGTGAGGAGGAAATGGATTAGCCGGAAGTCATGGGCACACGTGATGCGAAGGGTTCCCGTGTACAAGTAGTTTCGGGCCAGTATAAACATAGCTGAATAAAGCTCCAGGTAATGTTGAAACTTGAACACAAATATTCCCGAAGTTGGTATTTGTACACGGGATTGTTTTCAGCTGGCCGCATTAAACTTTCAGCAACTTTAATTGCGATTTAGTTTGACCGCACCGGCGGCTAATTTTTATTCCCGTCCCATAATCTGGTGCCCGTCTCCTTACCAAAATCTAATTCCTATGTGACCGACCCAAGGCTCTCCGGTTAAACTAAACAAATGCCCCGCGGTTGCACGAACGCCACTCACACCAAACAGAGGAGTAAGAGTGAGAGAGAGAACTAAAATGCAAGACGCTTTGCTTTATGTACGAAGATCCAAGACATGGTTATACACCAAAGGAATTAATTGGAATTTGATTTCTGCCCCGATGCACATTAAACGTCAAATGATTTTACTCGTCATTAAACTAGCACAATCCAAGCAATTGATCATATATATTCATCAATTTCAATCATATTCCATTTCGTTATCTTTTCCACTACAGAAAAAAACATGTTTACGTATTTTGCATCAGGCAAAACACGGTATCCATATTTTAATTAAAAACTAAAGCAGTCAGTGTTGAAACAAAGTTTTGTGTCTGTTCGTATAATCCGCGCGTGGAGTTGTGTGATAGTTTAAATAGGCGTATTTGTTCGCATTCTGGCGAGAAGACACTCGCTGTTCAGGAAATTAAAGATTATGCAGATTATATTTATTGTAGCTTTGAAAGGAGCTTTCTATTTGTTCGACTGCTGCTAAAACTATCGATCTTGTTTTGTGTACTAAACTATATAGTTGAGCGCCATTTGAAAAGAAACGTTCCGAGACAATACAATAGCATTGTTGCAATATTTAGCTGATATCCAGAACAGCTCAATGCAGGCATAGTATGGATTATATGAATAGTATTTGCATCATAACTTTTGCTTGCAACGCCTATATAAACAAATTTTCAGAAATTCAATTAAATTTTACTATCAAATTTGAAATTTTGTTTTTTCTTTGGAAAATTTTACACTTGTTATTTAAATAATTTCATCATTAAATTGATGTAGTTATAAAAATAATTTAATTTTACTTTATTTGGTATAGATTTATAAAAAAAAGTTAAACAATTTGTATTTTTTTATGAATTTTCTGAATGAATATTTATATATTTTGTACTCGTTATTTTGAAAATCAGTCTTTTATCAATAATTTGAAATGGTCAAGAATTATTAGTAATAGGTAAAAAAGAAATCCAGCCGAGACGTTGTAATCTTCGAGACATTTTGTAAGACATCAGTGTGACGTGGGTGGGCTATAAATCTAGGAGGAAAGATACAAGGCGCTGTCGCTCTTTAAAAATTCAAAGGCATGAAAAAGTAGTAGCAAGAAGTGCATGTAATTGAATGAGGGTTGCAGTGTACTGCGGGAGACATCGTTTGGTCCTCCATCAATCCGTATAAGGTGTCAATATGTCTATCCCGCTACCCCCTGAGGTTCTATTGCGTTTCTCTTTTTACGTTCAACTTTGTCCTCCGACAATAAAAAAACAATTTAAAGTATAGCCCCGGCCAATTTTCGTAATACAAACATTTATGTTTTTGCTCGACGCCCCCAGGGCCTGACGTTAATACGACAGTAAAATTTGATCAAATTACCTACTCATTCTTTCCCTCTCGTTCTTCCATTTTCACACACCCTTGCACGCACATACAGATTTCTTTTTTTTTTCATCCTCTCCATTTTGTCTGGACTGATTAGGGTGAACGATTGTGGCAAATGGTATAAAATGAATTTAGTATTCGATCGGGTGCGGTTGAGTAAAGCGTGAAGCTATGATATGAAAATATAAAACTGGTTTGCGAAACGTTGCGTATTCAATGGGGCTTGCCGCAATTTTAAATGTATGATAATGGCGAACTAAATCTGACTCTTGCCCTATTGTAAATTTTCTGCGAAATTAGCAAACTGTCGGCTTGTAGCAAATATATATGTATATGAATGTATGTAAATGTTAGTGGAGATTTGGGGTAGCGAAAAAATAAAACGGGAATGATCGAAGGCTTGGTTTCTTTTTTTTTTGGTTTAATGTTGCGGCGAAAATTGGCACACTTAAATTTGCGAAAAAGATTTGAATAAAATATAGGTTTATATGCTTACGACAATACATA